ACTAAGGAGGGGAAAGAATTAATCCAAAACCAAAATTTTCTTATTAACTTAAAATTCCCTGCTTGGCAGTTGCTAATTAGCAGAGAGAGAGAGAGAGAGAGAGAGAGAGCAGAAAGGCAAGGGGTTTATTCCGAACCTTCGGGACTGAAAGAACCAAAAGAAAGCAAAAAGAACAACCAGCCGGGAGTTCTGGTCGGAAAGAACCGAGAGAGCAAAATTGAACTTCCGCCAAAAAACCAGTTTCGCGAGTCCTGCGATACCCCACCCACCACCATTTAAATTAGATTTACAATTTTTTAACAATGATTTCAAAACTTCTCTCCAAAAGCGATACAACGAATCTTTGGCCGCTTGAAATGAATTTCAAAACCAACCGATAAGGGAGTTAAGAGTAAATAATTGAACTAAATTATATAGTGAAGCAGCCCACTGGGTTCAGTGATATCGAGCCCGCATTAGAATTAGTGCTGCCAAGGAAAAAATAAGCCAATTGGAGCAATGCCACCAGCACAGCCAGCAGCAAGAAAATCTCCTTAATCACCAAGCCCAGGATTTAAGCACTAAAACAGCAACTATCGCAAAAAAAACGGCTTATATAAATAAGCAACAGCAAAAAATAACTGAGTTAAAAAATAAAGCGACTGAATTAAAACGAGAATTAGACCAGTTTGAGGCGAACCAAGCCGAAACCGACCAAAGAATTACCGAATTAGAAGAATTGGTGGAAATTAAAACCCAGCGAATAATCAAAACCGCTCAGGAACATCAAGAAAACTTAGCCCACCAAGAGCAAATTCTTCAAAAATCTTGAAACCGAAAATTCACTGGTTCACAAACTAAACTCAGGAAAGTAAAAACTGAATTAGCCAACGCCCGCACTGAACTATCCGATTTATGAGCCGATTATGAGGGGATTAAAAATGAACGAGACACCGCTGAAGCCAACTTTCAAAATGAGCAAGCCACTCACGCTCACACCTCCGCCCAATTAAAGCAAGCCAATGTTGATTTAGTTAACGAAAAAAATCGAGCCGATAATTTACAAAAGCAAATTGATACTCATACTTGTTTTTGCCCTAATAGTTGCTGTCTAAATGGTGATTACAACCACCTAAAAATCCAAAACCAAGAACAAAAGCAGAAAATAACTGAATTAGAAACTGAGATAAGAAAATTAAAAGACCAACCGCCAATTCAGCCAGACAATACCGAAAAAGCAAATTTATCAGCCATTATCCAAGCCAAAAATCAAATTATTCAGCAATTAGAAGCAAAATTGCAAGAGCAACCAAAAGAAATTATTAAAGAAGTAGAAAGCGGAGTAGTTATTCGAGGCTTACAAAGCAAAATTAAGGAAAAAAAACAAACTCTTACTCAATTTAGGGTGGTTTGCTGGTTGTTCTTAGTAGTTAGTTGTTTACTTTTGCTTAATACAATCAGATTATTAAAGAAAAAGCAGGTTAAAAAGAACTAAAAAAAGACTTTTTGCCAAATATTTTTCTTTTTTTTTCTAAAATAAGTATTTTAATAAATTTTAATTGTTTAATACCCTTGATGCTATTTTTTTTTTTTTTTTTGCCACCTTCCAATTTCCACCATAGATAAAAAATCAAAGACAATAAGCCAAATACTAAAACATGAAACGTGGCAAAAATAGCAAAGGGGTCGCGACTGAAAAGCATATAAATCGAAATTCACAAAAAACTAAGAAAAGACCATAGCATTAAGAATTTTAAAACACCCTTTTTCTGACCCAAGCGAGAAAGAATTAAAGCGGGAAATGTCGAAGCAAGTGCAATTAGAACCCAACCAGGGATAAAAATTGTGGTGTTGGAAAATCGTATTATCATAATTAAAAATTAAAGGCACCTTTGCAAAAACCCTGCCTGAGATTATTTTGGAGTAGGAGCCTTTTTCTTGTTAGCAACGGTTATTCGTTTATGACCTTTGGCGGTGCG